CTTTTTTTTAACTCTAGGACAGAAAAGATATTTAAATATATTTAGATATTAACTTCCATTTGATTCTAACACTTCTTGTCAGGTATCTAAAATGACAGACTTCACTGTAAGTCCGATGAACTCATGTACTCACAATAACTCAGCTACAGCAAACTGCTTCTAATTTACCTAGTATTAACCATTTCTCTTGTTCACTTAGCCCTTTTTTGTTCATCTCACTGCTTGCCAATCTGCTCAAATACCTTGAGGAGTATCTTATATTAGAATTAAGTTACTGCAGATTTTTCAACAGTTAAAAACCTTCATGCTTACCTTCAACTGAAAAGTTAACTGTCAGTTTAAAACAGTCTTGTGAACACAGCTGCCTGTACACTTTGTGATATTCTCACCGTTCAGTGAGTCATGCCGTCTTTGAAAAGTTCTCCCTTACACTTTGGCTTTCAACAACATCTATTCAGATATGGAACAAAAGCACAGCAAAAACTTCAGTTAAGCCAGGGAACAGGAAAATGCCTCCTGAATTTTAATTAACAGAACACACTAGAAAATGACTGTACTACATTCTCATAGGGCTGTTTCCAGATCAGACCAACAAACTAAAAAAGTTTCAAGACTCTTTTTTATTTGAGTACTACCCCTTACTCAGCATCTTAAATAAAACCTTCCTCACAGTTTAGCAGTTTTAGTTATTATAATAGCCGTGATATCGATATTCAACCATCTAGTTCCTGTTTCAAGAGCAAAAGCTACTTACAATGCAGTATTCTCCTAGAATAAACTACAGATAAAAATTCAAGTATTCAAGTATCCCAACAAGTTGGGAGGTTAGAAAGTTAGAGGTTAGAAAACTATCAAGAATATTATCTTCACTGTAGAACTCTTATCTTTTTCTACTAACCCTAGTTTTCTAGAGTATTCAGATAAATTCTGCACACTTCAGTTGTGCTGACATTCATACTTACAGAACACCATGATGACTAAACAATATATTCTAAATCTAGCAGGCAGCAGTGACATGCAATGGCCAGCATACATTGGATCCAGTCCTCCTGCTTATTAGGCAATGGAAAAAAAAAAAAAAAGAATGCTTTTATCTTGAAATTGTTGGCACCTTGACAGCTACAGCAATGACAGGGTCTTTTGTCTAAACTTTAAACACTCTTGTAACCAAGACACAATTAAATTTTCAGTACTCTGAAGGGCATCACCTTTAAAGTATGCTAGAAAAACTTTAGAACAGCACTGCTTCTCAATTTGTACGGACTGTAGATTTTGCTCTTCTCATAATGTCAGCCAATACTGAAAGAATATTAAAATGTTACAGTTGTTTTAATAGACTGAAACATGGAAATTAATACACCATACACAGCACTAGACACCGCTGTAAACTGTGTTAGAAAAGGGGAGGGAAAAAAAGACTGTGTAGCCAAGCAAAACTGTCTTAAGTAATTAAACCCTTCTGTCCCTCTGTTCACGGAAGAAACACTATGCAAATATTTCCATTATCTGTAACTTTTCAAAGACTATGGTTTAATGCAAAATGGGTAATATTTACATCTTTTTCAATGAATGCTAGGTACTGGTTTGTTCTAACGCAAATGACCATAGATATAAAACAGGATCATATTTTACCCCTTTTGACCAATTTGGGGAGATCAACTTATTTTTTTACACAAAATTGGTGAGATATTCAGGTATTTACTTGATCTAATCTCTTTGAATAAAAAGAATTTATAAGTCCTGCACCACTGAACAGAGCAGGGCTCAAACTGTAGAAATTTTTGTTCACAATTCCAAGTGTTTCAGCCAGTATTGTACCTGAAAGCTCCCTCTCTCAAGCATGGCACTACAGTGTTTTCTCCGGTTATGGTGAAATTCCTTCTGCCCCCTTTCCTGTGCACTTCTCAGTATTTGCCATTTTCCTTTTTGCACAGAGATTCACCACTCAATTATTGTATTCTCTGCATTTGGCATCAGTGTCAACAAAAAACACTTGAAACTTCACAGTTCAGTTTCTACTCTAAAAATTTCCTGGGGGCCTTATTTTAGGTTCCCTCCATGTCGTGTTCCTGATTGTATAAAAAGCCTTGGGTCACTTTTGTGTATACACGACCACAAGGCAAGAATCAGTAGCCAGAGCCCAAGTCACAGGCCAAGACCTTATAATGTTAGGTAAGGTACGAAGGTGCTGTACAAAGAGATTCCTCCTAATGCTAAAGAGTGCATGGGAAACTTAACACCAAGACTGCAGAAAATCTAACAATGCCAACAGAACATTACAGGCTTCTGAAAAGGATTTACAAATTAAGTGGTTTTATTTTAAGTTAGGCCAAAAGGTGTCAAGGGATAACAATCAAATCAAATCGTGAGAGGCTAGGAAGAACTACTTACTTCCACCACTGAAATGATCACTGAACAAGTTCAGACTGCCGGAAGCAGCTATAGCAGATACTAGGTCACGTGCCAGGGCTGTGCCATGCAAGCATCCCGCATCGTAACCACAAAAGATAAAGAGATTGACAATTATAACTGATCTGCCAAGGGACAATATGATAAAAATGTATATAAAACTTCTCATAGTCCTACTTTTGTATCAGTAATTAATAAAAAAGCATTTTGTTCTGGACCAGTTTCCCTAGCACTGAACCCCAGCTCACACCCATGTTCCCAAATCTAAATGGAAAAATATAAAGCACCTGAAGCTCTGGTGAAATTTATGTTTACAATGCTGACGAACACTTCCTTTCTCTAATAAGGTTTTATTAGCTACACTACCTATGCATTCTTTCATACAATATTTAATTACACTATTTTAGCTCATTACCTATATTCCTTGTTCAATATTTTCAGCTCTTTTAAAAATCAGCTCTTTGAAGTATTTTGTTTCTCTGGAGCTGATTCCTCAGTCCTTGTTTCCCAGCTCATGTCTTGAGGCATGTACTGAACAAAGAGCAAAATATAGGCCAAATAGCTTCAAAGGGATGCCTTGCTCCCCTAGTATAATATAAATTCCTTTGGATTTAGTCCTTCATGTGAACCATCATCTGAAGAGTTTAAACAAACAGCTTCAATCAGTATATATAATATACATTGTATGCTATTAAAATACAAAATACTTCTGGTTTTATGGATGTCATAAACACATCATGTTACCATTTTAAAGGACATCCAGACTGAATACTGGTCTTTTCTGCCTAGGCCATTTTATTGCAGCAAGATTCCTGAGAAGCACAGCCTGGGAAGGCTGTTATAAACTACAGGATCTTCACACAGGAATTTATGCATGTGTAACTACTCCTCTCCTCCAGAAAAACAATTTCTTCACCTGTCACGGTTTTGCCAACCAACATTCCTCTGCCCGCACTCCACAGGAATCTTAGTGAAAGAAAATGGTAGTTACAATGCTTTAAATCAATGTGTCTAAGAGTGGAGGTTGTCACTCCCTCAGCACTTTTTTAAAAAGATCACTGACTACAGACACTCATACACATTTCCCCTCCTAATAGCATCACCTCAGTTACTTCAGAGCAGGACACTGGAACCTGTGTGTAATTACTGGCAGCCAAAATTTCTTCTGGTGTAGAAACTGTGTAGAACTCTATAAAAGTGTTAAAACAATCTGCAATGCACTCCAAGCCCTTCTTCGCCTAAATAATGCTGAGCTAACCATACGAGTAGAAAATAAAAGGTTGCTAAAGACAACTGGTAGCCTAGTCTCAGAATCTAATCACAGACTACGCTGCCTTTCTGCAACAAACAGCCATAAAGTAGTTTCCCGTAAAAGTATACGCTGCTCTGCCCAGCTTCCTGAATCTGTCTCCTCTAACAGTCTTATGCTGCAGTTCCCATTGAAATTACTGGGATGCTGATCTCATCAACTCAAAAACTATGCTTTGTGAAACACTGCTTGATAAGCAAAATTTAAAGGGGGTTTATACAAGATACCTAAAGTGCACTGCATGAAGAGAACTGGTAAAAATACCAACTATGGAAATGATAAGCAACCGTCAGTAAAATTTTATTTCCTCTAGAGCCACAGCAGCTCCTACATGATATTAAGACAAAAACATTATTTTTCCTGTTAACCAAGTTTACAATGCTCTAAAGCTTATTGTATCACTTTGAAACTGGCTGCTACTGAGATTACAGCAATCCAACAATATGCCATTTGCACACGCGTACTCTCCCACGTACTCTACGTTACCACATTGGACAGACTCCACGTCCGACTTATTCCCCGTGCCACACAAGCGCACGGAGAGCCCTTAGCCCAGGTGAGATGGCAGCCCACCGGTGGGTTTTGCCTGCTCAGGACTCCTCACTTACAGAAACCCAGAAAACCTGTCACACAGCACGACTGCAACACCAGACAGCATCACCAGCAACCAACACGCTGCACGCCCCGCTCTGCTTTAAGCTTTTTGTGGTAACCAGACATGACATCATCTTTAACGTCTCCTCAACCCCTGCCACCCTGAAACCCTCCTGAAGGAGGTCCTCTCACCCTCCTTTCTGCCTACAGTCCCACCGCTCGGCCCCACCAGGAGAAAGCCCTGTGCCACGCGTGGTGAGGAGCCAGCCCGCCCGCCACCAGGGGAGCCGGGGTGACACCCCCCCCCCCGGCCCGGCAGACATCGCCCCCTCGGCGGGCCGCCTCCTCACGGCGGGGCGGGGCGGCG